AGAGAGAGCGCGAGAGCAATTTGTCTATCCATTCACATTCCATTTAACCATTGCAGCTTACTGCGACTCCAGCCCAACACGTTCTAAAAATAGTTTGCAATAACTCAAATGCCAGAAAAAAACAAAAAACAATTCCACTCATTGCATTATCGCTCTAACTTATGCCTGTGCTGTGATAAAAACAGAGAGAGAGAGAGAGAGAGAGAGCTAAAGCACTAAAGCTTATAAGTGCTATAATTTCATTTACAATTAACTCTCCATTAGGACAATGCTCTTTCCAGTCGTTCCATTATCTAAATATAGCTGCATTACCCCTTCCAGCCGCTTGGAATGGCAACGATCAATTCCACTCACTGCATTGTTGTGCATAGAGAGACAGATAAAAAGAGAGTGAGAGTGACTGAGTGAGTTCATTAATCCAATTTTTGCATGTTTGCCGGACTAAGTATATATCTGCTTCCGCATTTGCAGTGGACATCGTTAGTGTGCGCTTCCACTCCTCCCACGACGAGCGAACGAAAGTGAGAGTATGTCGTCGACTTTGTCATTGTGGTTGTTGTTGTTTCTGTTGTCCATTCAATCATTGCAAATTTTATGCAATCTGACTTTTGAGTGTTTTTGCAGGCAGTGTGCGTGCGTGCGTGTGTGTGTTGATCTCTTTTTGTAAAGCCATTGTGTTAGGCTATGTGCGTGTGTGTGCCATATATCAAAAACATAACGGTTTGTGTCAGGCATTTGCTATATTCATACATTCTTTCCATTTACATAATGAAAGTGCAATGACTTTTGCAAAAGACGCAAACTGACAAGCTTAATCTTTGTTTTTGTCTTTATTTTTTTCAAGATTCCCTTTATTTATCTTTATTAATTGTTTGTTGACCTTGCATTTGCGATTACAGTGCACACACCCATAATTGTGATAGCACGCGATTTACACATTTGAATGCACGTAATCAAGATTTGCAAACATGTGCATAGGTCATACATATATAAATATATTTATTGTATAATATGTTTTTGTTTTGACTTTGTTGCATTTACGCTGGTAAACAAAACCGGTAAGGGCTAGTTAGCCGGTCAAAAAGCTGTCAAACGAGTTAATGTTGTCAAAAGCCATTGGCTGCAATTAGTGAAAGTTAAATGCTTAAACGTAACTACAGCCTATCTCTTTGAGCAGTAATACGAGTGCATTGCAAGCATATCGACCAAACTAATTGCACTCAAATTTTATGTATAAATTTAAAAACATGCGCTAAGCCGTAAAAATTGCGAATGGGCACACTTAACAGCATAAGTCGACAACATGTGTGCTCCTCTGTTAAAAATTAAAGCTTTCCACACAAACTGGTCATACTCGTATTAACATTTTCATGTGAGTAATAATTATCGGCTTTGAATCGATAACTCAATGGCTTTTGTAGCACATTTTAGTTGTAATTGAAATTTATAAGAAAAATGTGCGTAGAGACGAGCAAATTGTTGCTAAAAAACATGCCCTGTAGCATGAGCGAATTCGCGCAGCTAATACAGGAACTAAAGCTGATTATACCGCGGTCACTCAACGCTTTTGGTCGCAAGCGGGCACTGATTGAGTATGCCGATGTCGAGGAGGCGCAGACCGCCCTGAAACAGCTGTTGGGCCTCAGCGAAATACTGGACAAGCCGTTGCGCGTTAGCAACTTTGGACCGCGTGCCAATGCCGCCGACGGCACCAAGCCGAAAACCGCCAGCAAATCCACGCAGGCAACAGCGCCGGCTCAACTGAAACAGGACTCCACTTCGAATTCCGAGATCAACAAGTATGTGCAAAAGTTGTATGCCTGCAATAATCAATTTGACTTTACGCAGCCGCCACCGCCATATCTGCGCTATGCCTATCCGCCCATCAATGACGACATTCTCAGCGCCATTGGTGAGACACTGAAGAGCGATAAGCGCTTCTATGTGCAAGTGCTACACCTGATGAATCGCATGAATTTGCCGCCGCCATTTGGTGAGCGACCCAAGGGCATTATATTACCGCCCAAGCAGTCGGAAGACGTTGCCATTCAAACCGAAACGATTGAGAGTGAAACGGAGAGCGAGCTGGAGAGTGACAAGGAACAAGAGCACAAGCAACCTTATCAGCAGCCGAAGCTAGGGGGAAAGAGACCTGCCGAAAGTTCAGTATTGGAGCAATATCGTAAGCGTGCACGTCAAGCGCTGCAAGTGGAGAAGACGGCGGCAGTCACAGCGAAGAGAGAAGAAGAGAATACTAATGTGCCCGTTGCGCCACTCGTACGTAAAATAGAGCTGAAGCTGCCGACGGTGCTGCCCGTTGCCTCACAGCTGCCCGAGGAGCGCTTGTCTGCCGAGCAGCTGCAAGAGCTGCCCGTCTATAAGAACTACAAAGTGGGCGAGCCGAGCAACAAGCTGTACATCAAGAATCTCGACAAGAGCATCACAGAGTCGCAGCTGAGCGCTCTCTATGCACGCTATGCGCCGGCCGAGAGTCTGGACATCAAGGTCATGCAGCAGGGTCGCATGAAGGGACAGGCATTCGTCACATTTAAGCAGCTCGACTCGGATGGGGCGTCGGCAGAGGCACTGGCGGCGGTGGTGGCCAAAGCATTGAGTGAAACGAATGGTCTGCTCTGGCAGCAGAAGCCCATGATCGTGTGCTATGGAAAGCAGCAGGCGCAGCCGCAGCAGCAGCAGTTGTAGAAAAAGCCAGAAATATTTGTGAGAATTGCATTCCAGAGA